CAAAGTAATCAATGGTGTTGTGCTTATTAGTGCAACTAGTACTTTAAAAAGTACTGGAACATTTAAAAATATTAATACATACAATAAGCAATTGAAGCAATAAGAATATTATACAACCATTAGCATCTTTAGTCACATAGCTAAGTTATCAAAAGAGCTATTTTTCAAGTTTTATTAATATGAGTAGGTATCCAGAAGGAAATATACCAATGGACCTGTACCTCAAAATAGTGAAGAACGAGGTAAAAATAAAAAAAATAACAGAATGGTTAAGAATTAGAAACACATATTCCATCAGGCCTGCCCATTTGTGATATGATTTTGCCAAGGACCATGAAGATGTATCTCAATCCAGCAATGAGTAATAGTTATATCTTGTCTGTGGTACTTGGTACCCCATCCATTGACAAACCTTAGCCTCATAGTATACATCTTTGTAAGTCCCAACCAATAAATGATGGGACATTAAGAACAGAAGAAAAGTTGGTTAACCATAAGGCACCATTGCAAAGAGATAAGTGCTAAGGAAGAGCTAGATCTGCAGTTTCCATGCAGTATCTATGATTACAGCCTGTAATCTTGATTTTTAGGATCGCTGGGGCCGAAAGTAGTAATACTCAAGACTGGGTAGACCTTCACTTATGAAGTGACCGGGCCTCTCTTATTTTGGTCATATACTGCTGTCAACGGCGTTCCTTTTAGTAGTCGTACTACCACTACTTGTTTACTAAGTCAAGATCAAGCTTATAGACCAAACAACTAACACATAGAAAGTTAATGATTCGAAATTCCTTTTTGCAAGCCTTTAAAGTTACAATTTCCACTTTTAGCATCAGCCAACTAGGTTTCCTTTGATCATCAATTTTTAGATGCTTTAGATTCAAATGTAAACTTCCAAATTTATTAAATGAGTGTTATCGTATTTCTTAACTTTCTTTACACAACAAGTGCACAGCACACCTTTGCACTCAATACTACACTATTTTTATAGTGCCTGTATTATTTCTTTATCATGTACATCTTGTTTTTTGGATGTACTTCATGTAGTGTGGTGAGCTAGTGTAATCTAGTGCAGAGTACACTTTGTAAGTGGCATGATCTTTATATACCATTTTAATGTGTCAATATATGTTTTGATATGTCTCAAGATATATGCATTTCATAAAGTAAGCATACAGTACCACTCATGCTCACTAATCTGCCACATGAAATAAGTTTGCTATATAAGAGCTGCTACAACTTGAGACTTTAGTCTACAACTACACTAACTAACTTCTTGTCAACGGACAATGACTGCAAGAACAGTAGCCTCTAAGACCAAGGCTTTTTATCTATTGGAATTTGAAGATAGAGGCCTTATTGTTGTACCAGAGAATGAGCTAGAGGAGATCCTATGCAGTGAATGTACAAGACTACAGCGACAGTCGTGCCACCGACAGGTTAGTCTATATTATCAAGAGTGGATAATTATTTAGGGAGAGTGTCTAACCCGCCTATAATCTGTGATACCACAGTGCGTAAGTTTACATAGCATGGTTATTAGCACCAAGTAGCCATTCTTGCGTCCTTATACTGATTCCAAGTTAGAAGGCCGCAAATAAAAAAGAGCCAACCATTAGAAGAACATATTCCCATCTGCTCCTGCTTGTTTCTCGCACTACATGAT